AGAGAGCGTGGCATGAATGAAGCCAAGTAAGAGTAGCATGCACTCGGTAAGGGAGAGCGTGGCATGAAGGAAGCCAAGTAAGAGTAGCATGCACTCGGTAAGGGAGAGCGTGGCATGAATGAAGCCAAGTACGAGCAGTATGCACTTGGTAAGGGAGAGCGTGGCATGAAGGAAGCCAAGTAAGAGTAGCATGCACTCGGTAAGGGAGAGCGCGGCATGAAGGAATGACAGCCACCTCACTGAATGCAACCATTCTGTTTACTTGAAGTGTCCCACTTCATCAGACATAGTAATATTGCATTAATTGTGCATTAGACCAGAAATCAGCTTTTGATTAACATCATGAAACGTTTGTGAGCCTGGCCTACATGTGGACAATCATTAAACCCTTCTGCCACATCACATACACAGAACTCCTTGAAAATCAACAGGGTCTTAGGTGGCCCATTTCCTGAAGTTAGTCTGGCTTCCCTGCTGGCCTGCTGCTTTCTTGTGGTTATCCTCATATGCAGGGTCTAAGAGATTCACATTTTAGTCTTCACATGTGTTCTTGATGGATGCTAGCTTTCTAAAAAAAAAAAGAAAAGAAAAACATGGTCTGTTTTTGTTTTGCAGACCTATTCAGCGAGTGCTACTCCAACAGTGAGGACCGGGCATACGCACTCCTAGTGAGGAAGACGCATTCTTGGAGCAAATCTACGATTCTACATCTGGCCACCGAGGCAGACGCTAAGTGCTTCTTTGCCCATGATGGCGTCCAGGTTAGAATGGCCTAGAACACCTTTCAATATTACATATTTTATTGTCTTTCATCATTACACCTTTATCCCACCTGAACTGCCACCACCTTACTGAGGTGAGGTGAACTAAGGAATTAAAGATTTTGTTGAGTAAAACCTCCAGGCTGTACAGTGAAAAGAAACAGACTTGTGCTGGTCTTCACCCCCCTATTACTGGTCATATACTGTGGAGCTACTGGAGCTACTGGAGTAACTGGCAAACTGGCAGGGAAAGAGGAACGGTGTCTGTCTTAGAGAAGCATACAGCATTAAAACCATCATTCTATCAAGCATAGACATGGACATCTGAGACTATCAGCTGCCATGGTAGCTCAGGCGCTACCTTCATACTTTCTGCATATCACAGGCTATGTTGACGAAGATCTGGTGGGGTGCCATGGCCACTGACACTGCCATTTCCAAGCTGGTCCTGTCTTTCTTCTTCCACCCTCTTATCTGGACGAACCTCATTAAATTCAGGTACAAGCTGCAGCTGAGAGGGGCATGTAGGTGACAACATGCCAAACCTTAAAAATAACTACCTCCGTGTGTTTGTTTGTGCTCATCTAAGTGAGGAGGAGCTGGACAGCAGCCACAAGGGAGAGCAGTTTGCAGAGCTGGACAGTCTCGAGACTGAGAAGGCCCTCCTACTGACAGAAGACGATCACATGTTTGTGCCCCCGCCAGGCTATCAAGCACCCTGGTCATATGTGTAAGCTGATTCACACTCTGACCTTAAGCTGCTCGTTACAGGGAGTCCGGTGCGGCCGACCCATTAGCACCGCTGAGCACCAGTGCGGTCTGGACCCAGTTCCTACTCCGCCGCTGGCGGCGCTTCTGGAGTGCCCCCGTAACCGTCTTCTTGGGCAACGTCATCATGTACTTTGCCTTCCTCATCCTCTTCACCTACGTCCTCCTCCTTAACTTCCACCCCCCACCCCCGTATGGCCCCTCCATGGCAGAAATTGTCCTGTACTTCTGGGTCTTTACCCTGGTGCTGGAGGAGTTGCGGCAGGTAGGTCTGGGGCCTTTTGTTATGTAGGTCAACAGAATGCAAAGCGCCCTGCTTTGCATTCAGCCAATGCCATCATGTGCCATTTCAGAGCTTCTTCACTGATGAGGACACCAACATCCTTAAAAAATTCAAACTCTATGTGGAGGACAATTGGAACAAATGTGATATGGTGGCCATCTCCCTCTTTGTGGTGGGTGTATCCTGCAGGTACTGTCCACTTCTCTGTATCTCCACCAAGACATTTTCCAGTGCTCTCGTAAAATGAAGACTGTTTATACTGATGTGTTGATATAGTAACACTCAAAATAGCGTCTTTGTAGAGAGTAATAACTCTGCCAAAGTCCATGTCCAATTATCTGCCTTTGCAGAATGGTGGAGAGTGTGTACGAGGCGGGGCGGACAGTGCTGGCCCTGGACTTCATGGTCTTCACTCTCCGACTCATACATATCTTTGCCATCCACAAGCAGCTGGGGCCCAAGATCATTATTGTGGAGAGAATGGTGATGGAAACAAATGACCATTTTAAGACATTTAACATAAATATTAAGGGGAGGACATTTATTCTAAAACACATAAGGGACACAAAGTGATATGGACTCATCTATGGTTTATTTGTCTCGTCACGCCACTCATCCCCAAAGATGAAGGATGTCTTCTTCTTCCTGTTCTTCCTGAGCGTCTGGCTAATCGCTTATGGCGTAGCCACCCAAGCACTGCTGCACCCCAACGACCCCCGACTAGACTGGGTCTTCCGTAGGGCGCTGTATCGGCCCTACCTGCATATCTTCGGACAGATCCCACTAGAGGAGATTGATGGTGAGAGCAGGAGGTCCAGTGAATATAAACAGCACATTACAATATTCCAGTACCATAACATGGTGGGTGCAGTCTTCAGTCTGCCACACGGGGCAGTGTGGAGAACTGACTCATTGATGGACTTTGATGGGCTTTGTTCACAGTTTACACTTTGCTGTTAGCAAGCAGGCCCACTCATTCTTTTTCTATAATGTTAGCATGCTGGGGGTCTTTCTTTCTTTGTCTTCCCTTTTCCCTGTTTTTAATTTCTCTGTGTATATGATGTAGGAATGTATCACAACACACTCATGTAAAGCACCTTGGGGCAGCTCTCTTGTGAAAGGCGCTATATAAAAATAAATTGAATTGAATGCTGCTTATGGTTTAGCTCTATATACAAGTTTTATTTGATTTTCTTATTGTGCCGTGCTTATGTTCATCAGCGGCAAGGATGCCTGAGACAAACTGCACGACTGACCAGGAGGAGATCATTATGGGCAAGCTCCCACCATGTCCTAACATCTACGCCAACTGGCTTGTCATTCTTCTGCTGGTCATCTTCCTGCTGGTCACCAATGTGCTCCTGATGAACTTGCTTATTGCCATGTTTAGGTCAGTATCAGAGTTTGGAGCATCGTCATCAAGAGGTGACAAGTATCACCTCACCCCCATCCCATAATCACCTCACACTAACCCTAATCCTAACCCTAAGCCTAACCCTAAGCCTAACCCTTTCCATTCATGTAAAACTAATGCTATGTTTCTCATCTGAGAGCCCCAGCGTTAATTGTCCCATAAAAGGGTAAAAACTGTCTCAGTTCTTTGATCTTTCCAGTAGCTCACTCATCTTGCCCCTCTTGCAGTTATACCTTCCAGGTAGTTCAAGGAAATACTGACATTTTCTGGAAGTTTCAACGTTACAACTTGATCGTGGAGTACCACAGCAGACCAGCTCTGGCCCCGCCCTTCATCATCATCAGCCACTGTTCCCAGCTACTGCTTAGCCTTGTGAAGAAGACTGAGTCAAAACAGGAACCTCTTGGTTAGTAAAGCCCAATCTAACATTACTGTCTCCATTTGGAAGCATGCATGAAAAGCATACAGAACAGACTCACACTCTAAAAATTATGTGCTAGAATGTGTCCTTGGTTTTGTCCAATCAGAAAGAGAGCTATCACCTGGATTGGACCAGAAGCTGATGATCTGGGAGAGTGTACAAAAAGAGAACTACCTTGCAAATCTGGAAAGTCAAGAGCGGGACAGCAGTGAAGAGAGACTCAAGAACACCTCTTCAAAGTCAGTCCTTCCAGGAAGGAACATTCTACTCTAGGGTCAAGGCCTGGATTGTGGCACAGAACATAACCAGTGCTTCAACCACAGGATGTAATCTTAGATACACTTACTGGCCACTCACTTAGGTACACCTATCCAGTACTGGGTTGGACCCCCTTTTGCCTTCAGAACTGCCAAAATTCTTTGTGGTATAGATTTAGCAAGGTGCTTCAAACATTCCTCAGATACTTTGGTCCATGCTGTCATGATGCTTCACACAGTTGCTGCAGATTTGTCAGCTGCACCTTCATGGTGTGAATCTCCCGTTCCATCACATCCCATAGGAGCACTACTGGATTGAGATCAGGTGACTGAGGAGGCTGTTTCAGTACATCGAACTCATTGTTATGTTTGAGAAACCAGTCTGAGAAATGAGCTTCGTGATATGGCGCATTATCCTGCTGGAAGTAGCCATTAGAAGCTGGGTACACTGTGGTCATTAAGGGATGGACTTGGTCATCAACAATACCCAGGTGTGGCATTTAAATTCATAGTTTTCAGACCTTTCCAACAAAGCGGCTAACAATTGAGACTCCATATACCTGCAGCACAGGTTGGTTAATTTTCCAGCTGTTGCTAAGTAACAAATATTTATATCACCTATCAAAAGATTAAAAGCATATGTATATGAGATCAAGCTGCATGTTTTGGGCATTTGAAATCCCTATACAGCACCTGCCACAGTATTTCAGTTGCTAAATACAACAAAGTCCCTGCCAGAGCTCTACTTTGGTTATGTCTACATATATCTAGCGGAGAATTCCTCCCCTTACACAGGATGGAAGCTGACAAAAGCACAGACAGCTATATGTCTGTTGATGTCCAGCATATTACATTAAATGCATTAAGAAATACCGTTTTTGCTTGCATCTCCATATTTATGAATGGGAAAATTTGATCGAAAATCAATATACTTTTGGTTAATATTACTGGTGCCGACGGTGAAACTTGTCAGTGCTTATTAGCTGAATAATGCTACATCGTTTTTTATTCTGTGGAAAACTAATGACCGATCTGCTGGCCAGATTTAATAATGAATTATAGACGTCACAGTTTGCATAAATTAAATATCAATTAAAGGCTGTATTCCATTTTGATCACGATCAATTCCCCCAGTAACTTATAAAAAAACTTGTTCATGCTCCATTGCTTTGGGGTGGCGGTGTACTTTCGTATGAAATTACACGTGGAATTCATCCTATGAGCTATGCCTCTCCCATGCTTATTTAACTTAAAGTCCCCATTCCGGTTGTGCGGTGGGACAACGACACACAGAAGTGGCCAGGAGCTAGTTCCCAGTCGAGACGGCCCATGGGGCTCTGAACCAGGAACTAGGTTCCTGAACTTTGGTGTGAAAGCATCCTTTCATGGTCGCCATTCATTCCCTCTCCAAGAACCAAGGTACATCTAATGGCACCAATCTGCAGTCTCCTCCTTTCTGGGTTTTCTCATCCAAACCAGGCTTGTCGCCAAATTCCCTACCATCCAAAAGATGCAGCAAAAATCGAGTCTCAGCTGACCAGTCAGCGTTTTTCCAATCTTCCTGTGTCTCAATTTGGTGAGCCTGTGTCCATGGTAGCCTCAATTTCTTGCTTTTAACTGGCAGGAGTGGCACCCGGTAGGATCTTCTGCTGCTGTAGTCCATCTGCTTCAAGGTTCGAAGTGTGAGAAATTGTGTTCTGCATACCTTGTTTGTACCGAGTGGTTATTTGAGTTACTGTTGCCTTTCTATCAGATTGAACTGGCCATTCTCCTCTGAACTCTACCATCAGCAAGGCATTTTCACCCAGAAAACCGCGCTCACGGAATGTTTTTAATTTTTTCAGCCCATTCTCTGTAAACCCTAGAGATAATCTCAGCAGATCAGCAGTTTCTGAAATGCTCATACGGGCCTGTCTGGCCCCAATACTCATGCCATGGTCAAAGTCACTTAAATCACCTTTCTGCCCTATTCTGGTGTTTGATGTGACATTAACTGAAGCTCCTCACCTGTATTTGTGTGATTTTATACATTGTGCTGCTGATATATGATTGGCTGATTAGATATTTGCTTCAATGAGTAGTTGAACAGGTGTACTTAAAGTGGCCAGTGAGTGTATATAAGGCAACTTAAAATCCAATAACTTTGAGTTTTGCCGTATTATTTTAGCAAAGATTAAAGTGATATATTAGGGGCTTAAAGCATTGTTACTACAACATTGATATTCATAATACAGGTGTTTTTTTATGTTATTTTAGTATACTTTTTTGAGTCCCTTTCCTACATAACTTATTTATTAGAAATACTTATATTAAATACAGGATGCAAGCCCTATTGAAGATTGTTGGAGGGTACAAGGAACAGGAAAAGCGCCTGTCCTCTGTGGAAGCTGAGGTACAAAAATTAGACACAAAAAACATAATGATGTGTGAGCTGTTAGATGTAAGCTTCTCAGGTAGTGAGATGAGTACTTGCTGCCAGCGCTTTGACCCACATCGGTTGTGTGGTAATTCTGAGCAAAGGTAGAAACAACCCTCTCCCTTCCAGGTGAAATACTGCTCTGATGTGCTGTCCTGGATGGCGGACTGCTTTGCTAAAAGCACACTGAAGTGTGACAGGGAGGCTCCCATAGCCCCTGGTAAGCCCCCCCAGCTCTGACTGTGCGACTCATGCTTCTTGTTCTTGCTTGTTTTTTTGTCACTCTTCCTTCAGATATCATACAGACAAATCCTATTATGCATATGGAATGGCTAGTTTAAAAGTGAAGATGCTTATCTTCGTATTTTAAATGATTAAGCATTTTAAAATGCAGACATGGATGTTTGCAGGTGTTACAGATGTTACTCTGTGTTCGTGTTGTACAGGCACCTGGGGAACCAGCCCCAGACACCGCGGCCCAGACGGGAACACATTCAGCAGCCAGTCCAGGTCTGATGCTAAAAGGGAAATGCAGTACATTGATGAGTAACAGCATCTCACTTGTAGTCCTCTCCATTTCACATTAACTGTATGGAAGAACGAAGCACTGCACAGCGCCCCCCATTGTGCCTTTCATGCCTGTGAAGCGCACGACTGAAATGTGCTTGCAAGATGGGGCTTTGTATTGCTTTGTCGCCCCCTGCTGGTAATGGCCCCTTACAAACAGAGACCGGAGGATGATGGCCTCTTTACAGCAGTGCACTATATCCAGTTTTTCTTTTTCTTTCTTTCTTTCTTTCTTGCTTTCTTTCTTTCTTTCTTTCTTTCTTATCAGACATAGGTACTACATTTCCTGTATAGGTACATCTTTAAACTGCAACAATATATGAATTGTTTTCATTTTTATTGTTTTATTTGTGTCATTAATATAGATTCACTCATTTATTCAACATGCCGTTTTGTCTGTTTTAATATTAGAAATGCATTAAAGAGATGAAGCTTAAAATCATATGGTGTGTAAATTGCTTTGGAACTATGGGGTATTAAATGAAAATTGAGATACATGCTGCAATGAAAAGCTTCAGTAAAGTACCTGAATCTACAGGTGGTGGTACACTGACTCATTGGCTCACCATGACCTCACATCTCCAGGGCTCTGGGTTCGATTTCAACCCCAAGCTCTCTGTGACTGGTTTGTTCCCTGTATTTCCTGCTGCAGTCTAAAAATATGCAGTTAGGTGGATTGGCTTGTATGAAGTGCCTGTATTCTGGGCTTGTTTGTGTGAGTGTGTAATTTGCGATACACTTGGCACCATGTTGAAGTTGCCCCCACCCTGTGCTTCCAGGAATAGTCTTTAGGATCAGCGTGGCCCTCGTCTGAATCAGCAGATGTGGAAAAGAGATGGATCAGTTACTCTACAGGGAGCAGAGACCACAGTACAGACTTTGGAACTTCATTGGTCATCAAGAGAACAGGAACAGGAGAGGCAACAATTTATTCTACATATGAGGAGGTTTAAAATTACTATAATTTTTGCAGAGCAGGATGAAGTGTTTACAATGGTACACAAAACTGGTG